TCCAGAATGATGCCTTAATGACTAAAATGTCTAAATTTGTCTAGACCTAAGCTGTAAATAGAGACCAGACCCTGGGTACCTTTATCGTTCTTTGAATGAGGGGCGGTGGGGTAGCCTAGTGGTTAAAGTGTTCACTCGTCACGCCGAAGGCCCGGGTTCGATTCCCCACATGCGTAGAATTTCTGGTGTCCCCCGCCGTGATATTGCTGGAATATTGTTAAAAGCGGCGTAAAACGCAACTCACACACACTTACTTGCTAATACTAAGTACTTTCTATGTGACAACTGCCTTGTCCAGAGAACCATAGGTCAATAAAACTACGTCGTCTAGTTGTCTCCATCTCTCTATATATATTTTATTTCAATGTCAAGTGTCTTCGTCACGATATGGCTGAAATATTGCCGATGTGACGTTAAATAATAACTCACTCACTCACTCACTCTAGTTGTCTCCCCTTTCTTGAATGAATAGAAGTAGTTGAATTGGGTTTTACGCTCTTTAGGAGATTGAATTATTATTAGAGGATAGTGATGTGTCCTCCCATTGCATACTTAAGTAACTTTATGTTACTTTATGTCTTACGAGTGAGTGAGTGAGTTTGGTTTTACGCCGCTTTTAGCAATATTCCAGCAATATCACGGCGGGGGACACCAGAAATGGGCTTCACACATTGTACCCATGTGGGGAATCGAGCCCGGGTCTTCGAGTGACAAGCGAACGCTTTAACCACTAGGCTACCCCACCGCCCCTTATGTCTTACGAGACTACATAAGTATATATGACCCGCAAAGATCCGGGTTAGAATTGGTCCTCGGCATAAGAAGCGACAAACGGGATCGGAGGATCAGGCTCGGTGACTTGCTTGACACATGTCATCGTATCCCAAGTGCGTAGATTTATGCTCATGATGTTGATCATTGGATTATCTGGTCCAGATTTGATTATTTACAGACCACCGCAATATATATAGTTGGGATATTGCTGAGTGATTAAACAACAACAACAACAACAACAACAACAACAACAACAACAACACAAGTATATCTTGCATAGATTTGAGGCCCGTTTGCATACCAGGATCTTGCATGATTCAAGTCAACACCATGTACTTGCCGGTAGGGTTCTCATAACTCCTGCATCACTATCTGGGTTTATCTTTTTCCATAAGCCTTGTTTTTACCTCCTTCGTGCTGATAAATACTGTGTTAGCTCGATACATGACACAGAAAATCGCTCATTTGTTCTGTAGTATTATGCACAGGGATCTGAAACGCCCAAAAATTGGCATCAAAGTATATACTGTCAGTGACGGGGTATTAACACTATTTCAAAGGAAAGGGTGTTTTTATATATTGTTAAGACCCCGTCAGTGACAGTATGTACCAGCCAACAGTCTGCTAGTCACATACCCTTATATGTACATGCATTTGTACTCTTGTGTAAATAATAATCATAATAATTAAAAAAAAAAAAAAAAAGTATATACCTTGATGCCTATTTTTTGCGTTACAAGCCCTGTGCTATTATGAATCATTTTATAAAAAATTAAAATGGGGAGATTAGGTTACAATTTGTTTAACTTCAGGATATACTTTTATTATGTCAGTTTTATATGAGAGATTTGCATACATCGAAAACAACGTGATGTTTCCTGAATGGTGACGAAGGTCACCCCCATATCCGGGTAGGTTGTTGCATGTCATATTCCCGACTTTAAAGGCACAATGTCACATCACACTTCTCTAAAATAACATAATGCATTTTCTCTCAATACTATTAACCCTCAACCCTCATGGAAGCTACCATATAATATATTCCAAAAACAATTACGTATTTAGATTACAATATTACATTAAAAAGTTGTAATGAATTAATGCAACGTTGCATTAAATCGACTCTCACGCCCTCTACCGGGCGAACATTATTTCAAGCGAACCTCATAGAGCTATGTCCCTTGGAGCGCTCTTTACGAATATCCTACGTTCGGCAAACGCCGACAACACCGCGTGCGACAGTTTTCGATGTACGGAGTAATTGTTTACATTCCATCTAAGTGTTCTGTGTTTGGAAGCTGTTCGCATCGAAGTTTCGTAAGGGATCATAAGTCTTTTATTCCAGCAATAGGAAGCTTAATTGAGTGCATGCCCCAATATGTATAATGTACGCCAAAATATTGTCGAAAATATGTGACATTGTGCCTTTAAAGACCAGTGTTTCAACATAAATAATGTTATTGGATCAGGGTGCTGTCTGGTTTTGTCTGAGCTATTAGAATTTGTATGTCACGGTGAATCTGGACAACAAGAATCACGCCCTGGATCAGTATTTGAGTGAGTGAGTGAGAATGCTTTTAATCGCTTTTAGCAGTTTCCAGCAATATCACGTCGGAATATGTATGGAATATATATTACGGGGTGAATATGTACAACGTGTGGGGGTGTTTTAGGGGAGGTGTATCTACAAGGTGGGGATGTTTTAGGGGAGGTATATCTACAAGGTGTGATTGTTATAGGGGAGGTATATCTACAAGGTGTGGGGAGGTTTTAGGAGGTATATCTACAAGGTGTGGGGTGTTTTAGGGGAGGTATATCTACAAGGTGTGGATTGTTTAAAGGGACCTATATCTACAAGGTGTGGGGATGTTTTAAAAAGGTATATCTACAAGGTGTGGGATGTTTTAGGGGAGGTATATCTACAAGGTGGGGATGTGTTTTAGGGGAGGTATATCTACAAGGTGTGGATGTTTTAGGGGTATTATATAGTGTGATTGTTTTAGGGAGGTATATCTACAGGGTGGGGATTGTTTTAGGGAGGTATATCTACAAGGTGGGATTGTTTTAGGGGAGGTATATCTACAAGGTGTGGGATGTTTTAGAGGAGGTATATCTACAAGGTGTGGGGTGTTTTAGGGGAGGTATATCTACAAGGGTGGGGTGTTTTAGGGGAGGTATATCTACAAGGTGTGGGGTGTTTTAGGGGAGGTATATCTACAAGGTGTGGGATGTTTTAGGGAGGTATATCTACAGGGTGTGGGGTGTTTTAGGGGAGGTATATCTACAAGGTGTGGGGTGTTTTAGGGGAGGTATATCTACAAGGTGTGGGGTGTTTTAGGGGAGGTATATCTACAAGGTGTGGGAGTGTTTTACAAGGAGGTGTATCTACAAGGTGTGAGGTGTTTTAGGGGAGGTATATCTACAATGTTTTAGGGGAGGTATATCTACAAGGTGTGGGTGTTTTAGGGGAGGTATATCTACAAGGTGTGTGGGATGTTTTAGGGTGTGGGGTGTTTTATATCTACAAGGGTGGGGTGTTTTAGGGGAGGTATATCTACAAGGTGTGGGATGTTTTAGGGGAGGTATATCTACAAGGTGTGGGATGTTTTAGGGGAGGTATATCTACAAGGTGTGGGTGTTTTAGGGGAGGTATATCTACAAGGTGTGGGGTGTTTTAGGGGAGGTATATCTACAAGGTGTGGGATGTTTTAGGGGAGGTATATCTACAAGGTGTGGGATGTTTTAGGGGAGGTATATCTACAAGGTGGGGTGTTTTAGGGGAGGTATATCTACAAGGTGTGGGGGTGTTTTAGGGGAGGTATATCTACAAGGTGTGGGGTGTTTTAGGGGAGGTATATCTACAAGGTGTGGGGTGTTTAGGGGAGGTATATCTACAAGGTGTGGGGTGTTTTAGGGGAGGTATATCTACAAGGTGTGGGGTGTTTTAGGGGAGGTATATCTACAAGGTGTGGGTGTTTTAGGGAGGTATATCTACAAGGTGTGTTTTAGGGGTGTTCTTGGGGGGGGAGGTATATCTACAAGGTGTGGGGTGTTTTAGGGAGGTATATCTACAAGGTTTAGGGGGGTGTATCTTAGGGGATGAGGTATATCTACAAGGTGTGGGGTGTTTTAGGGGAGGTATATCTACAAGGTGTGGGGTGTTTTAGGGGAGGTATATCTACAAGGTGTGGGGATGTTTTAGGGGAGGTATATCTACAAGGTGTGGGGTGTTTTAGGGGAGGTATATCTACAAGGTGTGGGGTGTTTTAGGGGAGGTATATCTACAAGGTGTGGTTGTTTTAGGGGAGGTATATCTACAAGGTGTGGGGTGTTTAGGGGGGTATGTCTTTAGGGGAGGTATATCTACAAGGTGTGGGGTGTTTTAGGGGAGGTATATCTACAAGGTGTGGGGTGTTTTAGGGGAGGTATATCTACAAGGGAGGGGTGTTTTTTAGGGAGGTATATCTACAAGGTGTGTGGGGTGTTTTAGGTGGAGGTATATCTACAAGGTGTGGGGATGTTTTAGGGGAGGTATATCTACAAGGTGTGGGGTGTTTTAGGGGAGGTATATCTACAAGGTGTGGGGTGTTTTAGGGGAGGTATATCTACAAGGTGTGGGGTGTTTTAGGGGAGGTATATCTACAAGGTGTGGGATGTTTTAGGGGAGGTATATCTACAAGGTGAGGGTATTTTAGGGGAGGTATATCTACAAGGTGTTGGGTGTTTTAGGGAAGTATATCTACAAGGTGTGATTGTTTTAGGGGAGGTATATCTACAAGGGTGTGGGGTGTTTTAGGGGAGGTATAGGTATAGTGTTATGCTGTGCTTGTGTTTAGCTCCGATTCCATGTATTTCCAGTGCTTGATAGTCACATACAGCGCATGCTGTAGGTGTTTGTCCTATCATATATAGCCAGTGCTCGATATGCAATATGTTTATACGCAGCTCCAGAAGCTTAGGGACCTTGAGTCATGATGAAGGTAATGTGGGATTCGAACACAGGCATAGCCTTCTGCAGGCCGAAGGGACGCAACTGTACCTAACAAATTAAGTGAGTGGGTGAGTTTAGTTTTATGGCGCTTTCAGCAACACTACAGTAATATCACGGCGGGGGACACAATAAATTGACTTCGTACATTTTACCCTTGTGGGAAATCGAATACTGTTGTTCAGCGTGACGATCCCAATTAATTGAGACGAAGTTTAATAATAACAGAAAACAAGCGTTATATAAAATATTTTAATGTTCCCTGACAACAACTGAAACAGATCCATATATACCGATCCCATGGCACCATTGAAAAAACAACGCATCGTGAACAAGTTCCATATCCTTTGATAACGCTTCTACAGTCAGCACAATAAAATCATTCTTGAATCTCGTGTTAGAATATTATTATTTCATATTTACATATTTACAAAAGGGTCATATTTTGTAAGTTATAGTCCCATTATTATTCTATGTAGTATCTACATAATGAAAGACGGCAGAATGCAACAAATACATACAAACATATTAAGCATATATACAAAGCCACACAATCTCTCGGCTCAACCAAGTGCTAAGTCTCTACATGAACTGCACGTGTAGTGTCTATGAGATTCTCGATGAGGTATCGGCTGCCATGGTTATAGCTTTGTGATGTAGGAATCTTCAGCTGCCTCGTCATCGGAATAATCGGTCACGTCCGTCAGTATAGGAATGGCCCGTTGTATCTTAGCAACGGCAAGGGCATCGTAGAGATCCAAGAAAACATGTTCCTGTGGAATCTTATTGAAAACTCCAGCATGCTTCATGGCTTCCCGCATGTCGTAGGAACAACCAGACAGGAACAGTTTGATGTTGACGTGGTCGTACTCAGTGGAGATGTGGCTGAGGACATTGGCGCCGGATGCATCCAAGTAGTTGATGACGCTACAATCGACGATGACGTGGTGTGTGCGTCTCATATTTCTCAGTTTCTCATCTGTAACAAGGATGCCGCCGTCCTCGGGGTCGACGTCTTCGTCCTCGGAGTTAATTGTGGCGATGGTGACGGCAGAGAAGGTGGAGTCAATGCTGCCGTGGCGTTTCATGCTTCCGTCGGCGTTGAAGCCGTTCTGTTTGAGAGTGTAGCTGTTCTTTTGTGCTTCGTCGCTGATGCTGAACACAGGGTTGTCGATGCTGGAGACAGAATCACGTTGGGTGCCGTCACTTTTTGAGGAGTCTGTGCTGTTGATACGGGGAATGAGGTTGTTCTCTGACGTGCTCAACTTCCTGCTTCCGTTTGTGTCGGTTGATGGTACTGACGTCTTCACAACGGAACTTCTTCCTTCTTCGCTGAGCAGCATCACGCTCTTCCCAGATTTGCCCATTTTCTTTTCGTATTTCTTGATCATCTTCAGAAGTTTTCTTGGGTTTACAGTGCTTTTGTAGAGGTTGGATCGGAAGATTTCGGCGTTGGCATAGTACAGAAGACTGGAAGCGGAAGATCTTGACGCCGGGGATCTCGACGGAATCCTGGTATTTCTTTGTGCTCTACCAGGGTGCTATCTTTCATGGTTCTGCCGAGTCTGTAGCCGCGGGCGAACTGGGTCTGGAACACAACAGTGATGAGAGAAACGCCAACACCGATAAAGAGACCGTAGTCGATGTCGAGGAACACAGCGCTGGTGAAGGTGCTGAACCAGATGACGAAGTCGAATTTGTTGACACGCCAGAATTTACGTCCGTCGAGAATCTGGATGAAGAGTCCTTTGAGAGCGATGAAGATGATGGCAGCCAGGATTGACTTGGGGAGAACCTCGAAGACAGAGCTGATGACCATGATGACGAGGACCATCAGACCGGAAGTGAAGACGCCGTTGAGGACCGTCTTGGTGTTCATGCCACTAGAAACCATGGATCGTGGGGGAGCCACGCTGGAGGGGAAACACTTGAAGAAAGAACTGACGAAGTTGCACATGCCGTAGGCGATGAGCTCCTGACTGTCGTCAACCTCGTAGTTGTGTTTCTTGGCGCAGATCTTAGCCATGGCGATGGTGTTGGCGAAGATGAGGATGGCGATGATGAAGCAGTCAGCCATGAAGTTGGGGGTTTCTGCCAGTGGTGGGATGACTGGTGGAGGAATGGTGCTTGGGATGTCACCGACGATGGCGATTCCGAAGTTGGTGTTCAGGTCACCGAAATAGCCAACGATGCATCCGATGACGACGACGAAAAGCTCAATAGGGATTGGCATGAAAAGCTTGTGCTTGAACCTCTCGTTGATGCAGTCCTTCACCAGCACAATGATGACACAAGTGATAACGGCACAGATGATGGCAGCAACGTTGACCTCGGTGATGTGGGTGAAGATTTCTCTGTAGTTATTGATGAACTTGAACAGACCGCCGTGTTTCTTGACGTCCAGTCCAAGCATAGCTGGGACCTGGCTTGTGGCGATGTGGACGGCGGCTCCTGATGTAAAGGCACAAAAGAAGGACTCGGATAGGTAGGCGGTGATGAACCCGAGCTTGAAGATCCCCATGAAGATCATCATTAAACCCGAGACAAAGGTCACCGCCATGGCTATGCCTTCCTTGTAATCCAAGTATGCAGGAATGTCATCAAGAGGCACTTGGGTACCATTCAATGTAAAGTTCAGAATATCTGGATTGGCGGCGACAAACGCCTCGCCTTGACGGTCCACAACACTAGCAGTCAATATACATATCACAGCACTGGTGCCGATGGAAACGTGGGCAGATGTTCCGAAAAATACGTAGATGATGACAGGCCATAAGGATGTATACAATCCGTTTTCGATCTTTACAGACGTCAGCTGTCCGAAGGCCAGCGCTTGAGGGATATGTAGAACCCCAATTGTTAAACCGGCCAGTATGTCAATCAGAATGTTGTCTTTAATGTTGTAGTACCGTAGGACCTTGAGAATTGGTAAATAACCGCTCACAAGTTTCCATAGCCGCTTCTTTGAGCAATAAGCCTGTTTCTTCACGCGTTCGGATATGCTCTTGGATTCGAACTCGGTCTTGGCGTGGATATCGTCGAATGCTGTTTGCGTAAAAGGTGGTCGCTTGATGACAATGGCATTGTCAATGACGTTGACGGCAGGACAGGAGAAACGTCGTCCTTTCGTGTCCAGGCACCCGGGTGAGTTGGCCGCGTCACTGATAGATACTGACCGTTTCTCATTCATCGCGGAGGTCTGTAAATGTAGAGAAAAACATAAGACATCATAGAATAGTGTACGGCCACATGTAAATGAACAGTCAGTGATGAAATGGTAACAGTAGAACTACTATTTGCTCTTGACAATTGTATAGATGATATAAGTCACAGTCATTATGGAAAGTTTGTCACAGTGCTGATGTGGAGTTCTAACGCCATTATAAAATAATAATAGAATGTATGTGTCATTACAAAACCGGGCAATGAAGACAGAAAGGCGTCCAAAAGCTGTCAATCCGATGACGAAGGCTTGGAAATAATACGTCCTATCAGGAAAAATAACTCTTTCGGGTGAATTACGTGCCCGTCTTATATAGCATGAATAATGCACCGTGTTCTGGTGTATTATGCAAACATGCGTAAATACACTTGGCAGTGAACACTCGTCACTTAACACTAATTTCTCTGCGTTTCAAGAACTGGCTGTCTCTTTGACATTTGGACAAGTGGAGACAACTGAACGAAATAGTTGCGGAAATATTTTTTACCTAACCTGAACCTGACGTTTTGCATGGCACTATAATAATTAACAAATAATGTCATGGTTGGTCTGGAGAAGAAAGGTGTCAGATAGAAAGTACTTAGTTTTTAAAAACCAAGTGTGATATTTGGGGTGCTGAAGGGGTGGTATATCCAACTTCCTTGGGTATCCGAGATCAATGATTCGGCTTATATTCTATATTTGCAATATCTTAGACTTGCCTTCAGGTTATATAATTACATTTGGGTGTTGGAGTATTGATATTAATATGATCTGGGGAAGGAGTGGCGATGATGATGATGATGATGATGATGATGATGATGATGATGATATCGTTTTGCAACATCAATACTTTAGTGCACCACATCATGTTTCACACACTACCTTCAATAACGCGCCCTGAAACATGTTCACCAGCGTCGCCCCGTCAACCTCCCCTCCTACCCCTCCCTACTGAATACAAAGTGACGGACACGCCAATCAAATACAACGAACACATCTACAAATACAGTGAAATCCTACACAACACGCTGACGTGGTTCTCAGTGTCTTGGCGGGCTGACAACAGGGGAACATCCATACGTGTCATTGCGCCATTCATCATATATTCTCAGTAACATCAAGCCACTTGTCTAACATGTTTAATAGACCGTTCTTAGAAAATCAACCAGAGGGTATGTTTTAATTGCCCGGACACTGTGGAGGATAAAACTCACCTTTTACTACACTGCTCAATATACAAGGAAATCTATCTAGAAAACTTATTTCTTTGCACTTAACCACACAGATAAGATGGAGCAGAATTTTTGAGGTTGATATACTTGCATAAAAAATGGAATAAACACGTTGAAATGTGACTTTCAGAATTGAAATGATTTGAAAAAAATTGTGTTTCACCTCAAACATTACGCAGACGTATAACTCTGATTATAAGATGCGGAAAAAATACAGTTCTTGTTTCACGCTTACCTAATGAACCCGGTCTAATTTGTATATTCATACTGAGCCAGGTCATGCATGTCAGTGGCAAGTCTTACCTGGGATACAATCGGATGCGGTTTCGAGACAAACTGGGACAAACTGTAAAGACTATATTATATTAAAGTACTCGCGCATATGTTGTCTTTGCCTAGTTTAGGCGTTTGTTGTCGCCGCCGCCGTGACGTGATTAAGCCTTGGGGTGACAAGCGGGGACTTAACTTCAGCGCCGACACAAGTGCTGTCTAAACCATAAGGTGACAGGTGGGTAGCACATTATTCTTGCCTTTCTGTGTTTGGGAATAATGATTAATGTGACATTCTGTCAGTCCACCCATTGTATTTTAAGTAAGAACCATCTTCCTGCACAAATTTCCCTTCCGAATAACTAAAAAATAATAATTTGAATTTCATTTTCTGAAGGTTATTATTTGGTTTCGGGTCAGAAAGGAAAACGAACCACGAAAATTGAAATTTTAATTTAAATTAAATGTAAGAGGTACGTAATGCATACAGACACACACTAATTATGAAGTGGCGAGTTTCGTTGATATATAAAAATGATAGGCATGCTTGGCTGTGGCTAGTGGATTTCAAGAGGAGGAACGAATAAGGAAACATAACACGTATAACAGGAATGAACCAATCAGATTGCGAGGTGTTTTTCTCTCTATTCTTTTTCTGCCAATACATTTGCAATATTCTTAATTCTTAATTCTTCCCAACTACGCTTCCGTTCAAAAGAAACTTGCATGTTGGTTGTGACCCCAAAATTACCAACTTTATCAAAGCGTAACCACACTGAAAAAAACTCGCAAAAAATGCAAATTATAGGTTGAAACAAAACTGTGATATTCGTATCAAATAAATCACAGTAGAATAACCATTTCTGCTTTGTTCTTCTTTATTTCAAAACACCATCAAACATTTATGTGTATTTTTCTTTTGCTCGGCATTTCCTTACTGAATAGTCAGATAGATCAGACTTACATTTGATTTTGTCAAACAATACTTTGATAAAAGCAAACGTTTTACATTGTCTGCTTTGCTCCAGAAATGAATAGCGAATTGACGTTGCCGGCTGACAGGTGTGTGACAACGGATTAATTAATTACATGTGTTTGTACTTGTTCCCTGAAAACTCCTGGGCTTAGTCATTTGGCATTGAGCACTTAGTCTGCCTGTGTAATTGATCTGTGTCCCGAAAGACAAAGAATTGTTTTTCTGAACAGGATGCTCACAGCAGATATAGCCTTGAGTCGTTCTACTTCTAAGTCCTAGCAATATTTTGGGGGTCCAATGCATAAACACGAGGTCCCAATGAGTCAAATACCTTATTTGATTGCCAAGTTACCGTTATCATGCAGACACCTTAAGCCAAATAAAAGATTGAGATTTCCCGGTAAATAAAATCATATTGTGTGTATATGTTCTTAGCTAATAGTCTCTCGTAACCCAGAAAGGGTGGCTCACTGTTTTATTGTATTTGTATTGTGTGTTGTTACTATGCGCTTGTGAGGTGAGACTTTAATAAACTATCTGTCTGTCTGTCTTCTGTCTGTGGGGATTCGCGTCTGGGTCTTCGGCGTGACGAGCCAACGCCTTAACCACTATTCTACCCCACCGCCCCAAGACGTTTTAGAGTTAATTAATATTAACATTAGTGTCGCCATTTCAGTCAGATGGCTACAAGCGTGAGTTTACGCTGCTTTTACCAACACACCCATACTATCACGCCGTTCCTGCCAATGTAATAAAATGCATTAACGTCTAGGCACGTATTTGCAATGTAATCTACCCGGATATCTGACAGATACAAGTTCATATTCAAATTCGTATTTGTTACCGAGGTTGCACAACACGTCATAAAATTGTGTTTATCCACTCGACATGCGGACATAATGCGTTTGCATGTAAGTTACCGTGGTAACGTTCATCTTGGATTGGTCGAACGATAACGTTTATTACAACCAAGATAGCACTACCAGGACATGCCTGATATAAATACATATCTACTTGTAATCACTGATGAATTCAAGAATGAATTTGAAAATACATGTACAAAATATTTCAAAATTGACCTCGGTGCCAACTCCTCAATTTAATTCCTTACATGAAAAGTTTAGTTTGACATTTATGATGTAGACAATAAAATGCAACTGCATGTGTATAAAGTATACGTATGCCCTTGGTAGACTTTCAAAGAAATTATATTTACTATTACGTATGCATATTTTTATGTAAGACATCATGCTTATTATTCCACCTATATAATCCCCCGATACAGTATTAAGAATATATCATATGACCATTTAAAAATAGTATTTGCGAAATCCATTTTTGAAAGACAATTTGAAACACACAAATTTCGTATATGGTACTAAAATCGTAATACACATACAACATTAAGTTTGTTACAGGCGAAATGTTTACCACTAAACATCAAAGCGTCAACAGCTGTCACACGCCCAATGAGATAAACAAGTTTGGTGATACTTCTTACCTTGATAGAGATCCGGTATGTACAGAAGTAGCGAAAGCTAAACCCACTGATCCCGAAGCTGGTTGGCTTCCCCACTGAATCTGCACAGCGGACGGCAGGATTAAATACCTAGGGTAACAGTGTCAAATCATGGCCTCTCGTCTTGTCTTCCAAGACAATTCTCTGCTAAGCTCCGCCCACTGTCATCTCAGGGCTTAATCCCGTTGTAGGTACATCTTGAGCTTTGACAGGCTGTCTGTGGAAGATGTAATGTCATGTGATTTACACATTGTGTGTCAGCTATGATGTAATGCATCTTCAGATGCCTATATGAGAACGGTCTGAGCCAAGGAGATACTATTGAACTCTTGTCACTACAGTGTCATTCATTTATTTATTTCTGTGTTAATCGTAAGCTTCCTGATTTTTAAAGCATATGTGATCGGATTAATTTTCTCTTTAAATATGATTTTAAAACATTTGCTAGCTACTATTTTGTTTACAGTGTTAACTAACTGAGAACGGTCTGAGCCAAGGAGATACTATTGAACCTTTTGTTTACACTCATGTATTTCTTTCTGTGTTAATCGTAAGCTTCCTGGCTTTAAAGCATATATAATCGGATTTATGTTCTCTTTAAATATGATTTTAATCGTTTGCTACCTACTATATTGTTTATGTTATTAGATTGTTTATTGGTTCAAAACCGTTATTTCCAATTGTTATCGTTTACAGTAACGAAGAGTATTATATCTAACACTGATTAAATGTGCTCAGGGACGTATAAGCAAATTGTCTCAATCTGTGTACTTTGGGTAAAGGGTTGCAAGAATATTTGGGATACTTATGACACCTCTTTACTGGAAACAATTACACTTATATAGGACGCGTGGCGATGTTATAAATTTTCGCCAAAATATTTTTTCATTTGCATCATGTACATGTAATGTTATGATGCTATCAAATAAACGCAGTATCATAACAATGTTGGATATAGGGTCTGTAAATGTCAAGTCTCTATATCTAAATGGTTCGTTTATGTCAGCATGTGTGCTCGTCACTCTGGTCGAAACAGTTCGGAGCACAAAAAAGAAACATACAACTTTATTGATTACAACTTCTTGTTTATTGCATAGAGCGAGGTTTCGATGTAGATTCTTACACCGGTATCAAGCTAAAAGTGCTCTATGCAATAAACAAGAAGTTGTCATCAATAAAGTTGCATGTTTTATTTTTGACTCAGAATGCCGATCAAACAATAAGTTCGGATCACCGCTGCAGTATTTCAATGACAACTCAGGTGATTTTTAAAAAATATCATGACAAGCAGTGTAACAAATTGAGCATACTTTGCGGGAACCTTAGGCGAAATATACTTCTCTTCAAAAGTTTAGACTCACTTAAAACACTCACTATATGTTAAGTATATATATATATGGTTACATCGAAGATTGATTTCTCCACTAACTTGGGGGAACCAACTGCAAACTTTATGCAGATGAATTGCACGAGGATCATGCATCAAATTGCAGAAATGTATGTGCAAATATCGTGCATGTGAACAGCTGCGTTTTGGTGTAAAGTTTGTTAAGAATTCGCCAAATTTCACTGATTTTTATCATTTACTGAACTCATGACAATAATCTTTGCAACGTTACGAATTCGTTTTACAATACATCAGTTCATACGTTAACAGTACCTTTAAACAGTAAGGAATATTTTGCAAAATTTAGTTTAGAACAGTTGCCTGAAGTTAGCGGCTATATTTACACTACTGAGTCTAAACTTTGGATGAGAAGTATAGTTCAAGGTTTCACGTTTTTGTATTCTGAAAAAACCAATAACAATATTGTACAAAAGCTAATGTATGTACAAACAGCTGCATTACGGGATTTGATCTAAGAGGGAAATTTATCATTAGAACAAATTAGACAGCTCCAAATTTTGACAGTTCATGGTCGTTCCAGTTCATACGCTTGACGTTGAACATTTTGACAAATCGACATGCATATTTAGTTTACGCATTGTCTCGGAAGAATGCTCATGCAAGGAGTCGTTTTCTCACCCTGTTGTTTTAACTGTGTGTTCCCTGATTGATAGTTAGTTGTTCAAACAGTCTAATGCTTAATTGTATCGGCTTGTGTCAGTCCCATACATTAAAAAGCCTCATTATTGTAACTAAAGGTGACGCTTGAGTGAAGATGAATGAATTTCTAATTATGCTGTGGTAGGTTATGTCCCGATTTAAAAGCCGATGTATTTTTAAACACTCTGACGGATTTTCTTTAACAACATTGTTTAACGTGTTGTATGCTTCGCACGTATAGGCTGCATTTATAGAATTACTATAATCTGTATTTGTACTTTGGTTTTAACGTTCAGTTTCTTTGCAAAAGGAAAAGAATTTTGACACCTTTCAAATAAACCTAATCATCATTAGAGGAAAAAAATAACATTCTTTATTCGTATGGTTCTCAACGCTAGTGTTTGTTGACCTTTCACATATTTTAATGCGATGGGGATAGTCTAGTGGTTAAAGCGTTCGCTCGTCACACCAAAGACCCGTGTTCGATGCCTCACATTGGTACAATGTATGAAGTCCATTTCTGGAGTTCCTCGCCTTGATAGTTTTGGAATACTGCTAGAAGCGGCGTAAGTTATAACTCACTCACTTCCCTTTTGTGGTGAGGGAGATGGGTTTAATGCTGCTTTCTGCAGGATTTCAATTACAACACAACAACAATATATACTGACAAGCAAAAGAAGGTACCCAACCTCATACCTCATTTGATGGCGGCTATAAATGAGACCTTGGAGAAGCGGTTATTCAATGGTGACATCCATGATAAGGGTATGATAGTTGTGTTTTGCAGTGTTTTCGGCGACCGTATTCAGTCGATTATCCGTTTTCTTTGCATTTGTAGCCAGTGTAGCGTTATGCCGTGCTTGTGTTATGTTTAGCTCCGATTTCAAGTATTTCAAGTGCTTGATAGTCACATATAGTGCATGTTTTACGTTGTTTTTCCTATAGCCAGTATTTGACATTCACGTACAGTGCATGTTCTGTGTTGTTTTTCCTATAGCGTATAGCCAGTGCTTGACTTTCGCGTACAGTGCATAGCCAGTGCTTGAAATTTACGTATAGGGCTTGCTGTATGTTGTTGTTACTATAGCGTATAGCCATTGCTTGAAATCCACGTACAGTGCATGCTGTATGTTGTTGTTACTATAGCGTATAGACAGTGCCTGACATTCACGTACAGTGCATGCTGTATGTTGTTGTTACTATAGCGTATAGTAAGTGCCTGACATTCATGTACAGTGCATGCTGTATGTTGTTGTTACTATAGCGTATAGTAAGTGCCTGACATTCACGTATAGTGCATGCTGTATGTTGTTGTTACTATAGCGTATAGTAAGTGCCTGACATTCACGTACAGTGCATGCTGTATGTTGTTGTTACTATAGCGTATAGTAAGTGCCTGACATTCACGTACAGTGCATGCTGTATGTTGTTGTTACTATAGCGTATAGTAAGTGCCTGACATTCACGTACCGTGCATGCTGTATGTTGTTGTTACTATAGCGTATAGCCAGTGCTGGACATTTGTATTCTGCATGTTGTATTTTGTTTTTCCTGTAACGTATGGCCAGTGCTTGAAAGCGTTCCTTGCCGTGGAGTGCATGCTGTATTGATGTTTTGTCTCTAACGTATAGCCAGTGTTTGATATTCATGTATAGTGCATACGGTATGTTGTTGTTCCAGTAACGTATAGCCAGCACTTGTACAGTACATACGGTATGTTGTTTTTCCTGTAACGTATAGCCAGGGCTTGATATTCACGTATAGTGCATACGGAATGTTGTTTTGTCCTGTTACGTATAGCCAGGGCTTGATATTCACGTATAGTGCATACGGTATGTTGTTATTCCTGTAACGTATAGCCAGGGCTTGATATTCACGTATAGTGCATACGGTATGTTGTTTTTCCTGTAACATATGACCAGTGCTTGAAAATGTCCCTTGCCGTGGAGTGCATACTGAACGTTGTTTTTCCTATAGCCAGTGCTTGAAATTTACGTACAGTGCATACTATATGATGTTTTTCCTATAGCGTATAGTCAGTGCTTGACACTCATGTATATTACATGCTGTATGTTGTTTTCCTTTAGCGTATAGTCAGTGCTGGACACTCATGTATATTACATGCTGTATGTTGTTTTCCTTTAGCGTATATCCAGTGCTTGACAGTCAGTGCTTGACACGTGTATATTACATGCTGTATGTTGTTTTCCTTTAGCGTATAGTCAGTGCTTGACACTCATGTATATTACATGCTGTATGTTGTTTTTCCTCTAGCGTATGTCCAGTTCTAGACATTTACGTATAGCCAGCGCTTGCAATTCACACATAGTACATGGTAATGTTGCTTTTCCTATAACGTATAGTATAACGTAAAACCAATGCTTAAAATTGACGTATAGTGCATGTTGTATGTTGTTTTTCCTATAACGTATGGCCAGTGCTTGAAAGTGACCCTCGCCGTGATATTTCTGGAATACTGCTAGAAGCGGCGTAAGATATAACTCATTCACTTCCCTTTTGTGGTGAGGGAGATGGGTTTAATGCTGCTGCTTTCAACAGGATTTCAGTTACAACAGGGGGTGTCATCATCATAATTAAGGAAATAAACTTTCCACTGTGGCGCCTTAAACAACATCGCCACGCCTAACCATTCTTTTTGGAGTTAGATATGATGTTAATTTCATGATTGAGTAACGATACTGATTCATACAATGTGTGTACCCTACGTAAGTGCCATAAGCTCGGTTATAAGAACAACAAGAACAAGAGTGAGCGAGTGAGTGAGTTTAGTTTTACGCCGCTTTTAGCAATATTCCAGCAATATCACGGCGGGCCAACACCATGAGTGGGAAGTGGGCTTCACACATAGTACCACAAGAACAAGAACAAGAGCTACAACAACATATACTGACAGGCAAAAGAAGGCAACCAACCTTATTTGATAGCGGCTAAAAATGAAACCTAGAAGTAGCTGTTTTTCAATGGTGACATCCTTGATAAGGATAGGAGTTTTGCAGTGTTTTCGCCGACCGTTTTTAGGTTGTTTTCCCATCGTGTATAGCCAATGCTTGACACTCACGTAATGTGTGCATGCTGTATGTTGCTTTTCCTTTAGCGAAAAGCCAATGCTTGGCATTCACGTATAGTTCATGTTGAAAGTTGTTTTTCCTATGGCCAGTGTTTGACATTCATATATATATAGTCTGTTTGCAGTGAAAACGTACCGATGAATTTCACTTTAAACAAAAACGTAAATCAAATAAAGTGAAATTAGAAGTACGAATCCTCATGATTTTACCTTGTCAATTGAACATTTAAATGTCAGAATTTTATTCAACTTAGGATAAAAGTTGTTTAACAAACGATCATAGTTTCAAATCGCTATTGTTGGTTTGTATTACAAAGGGGTATGCACATTAAATGAAACACCGAGAAGAAGTAGGGTTGGTCTAAGTTAACGCTCATCACGTACTGCACGTGCATTTGCATCACTGTTCCAATTACTGCGTTTACTCCCTTGTAATACAAACCAATAATAGCAATTTGAATCTATGATCGTTTGTTAAACAACTTTTATCCTAAGTTGAATAAAATTCTGAAATTTATATGTTTAATTGGTAAGGTAAAATTATGAGGATTCGCAATCTTAATTTCACTTTTTTAAATTTACTTTTGTGTTGAAAGCGAAATTCATCGGTACGTTTTCACTGCAAACAGACTATAGTGGATGCTGTATGTTGTTTTTCCTATAGCCAGTGCTTGAAATTCACGTATAGTGCATATTGTAGGTTAAGTTTCCTATAGCATTTAACCACTGCTTAATAATCACGTATAGTGCATGTCGTATGTTGCTTTTGTTATGGTGTATAACCAGTCAATTGTAGAAATGTCATTTTTTTTGGCGTATGGTACGTAACTCTAGAAGCTGAAGGACCAAGCGTCACGATGAAGGTAATGTGGGATTCGAACACAGTCATGGCCTTTCTGTAGGCAGAAGGTATGTAACTGTACCCAACAAATGAGGTGAGGTGAAATTGGGTTTAACGTCGCGCTGGAGAATATTTCGTTCATATGACGACGTGCATGTGTGTGTAAGTGTAAGTGCGGCTGCTTGTACTAACCCAGACTGAAGCTGGTTTTATAGTGCTAGCCCACTGAGATACCATGCCGCAGTGAAGCATGAATACCCCAGTCAGATACATTATACCACAGGCAAACTAGCGCAAACAGGGTTGCGCAACAAAGAGAAAATGACCAGTCTTCGTATATGCGAGCGACTGGTCATTTTCTCTTTGTTGCGCAACCCTGTTTGCGCTACAGTTTGCCTGTGATTATACTAACGCCGAGCCGACCAGTCCTTGTTGTAGCCATGAATGCCGAGCGTCAGGCAGGGACCAACAAGTATTATATTTTAACGTCTTTTGGTATGACACACGGCCGGGGATCGAACCCGCGACCCTCCTGCTCTCCGGGCGGACGCTCTAACCACTACACCACGGAACCGGTCGTACCCAACAGATGAAGTTAATGAGCGGGTGTTTTGTTTTATGCCCCTTTTAGCAATATTCCAGCATTATTAAGGCGGGGGGACACCAGGAATGAGCTTCACCCAATGGAAGCGACGTTTAATAACAGAAAGCGATCATTAGGTAAAACATTTTAATCTTCGCTGACAACAATAGATCCATACATACTATTCCCCTTGCACCATCGGTAAAACAACGCCTCATGAACAATTTCCATATCCTTTGATAACGCTTCTACAGTCAGCACACTAAAATCATTCTTGAATCTCGTGTTAGAATATAATATTTCATATTTACATATGTACAAATGGGTCATATTTTTTTGTAAGTTATAAGTCCCCGGGTTCTGACCAATCTCGTCATAAGTATTCTGCGAAGTATCTACATAATGAAAGACGGCAGAATGCAACAATATCATACACACATATATAGCATATGTACAAAGCCACACCTGAGTATCATACGTCAGTGAAACACATATGGAGTGTGATGAACCAATCAAATCGTTCCATGTCTAGTGACGTCATCTAAAGTCCACAACCAGACACCGAAAATGAAAGTTATATACTACTCAGTTTTTGACACCAGATAGAGAATGATGGCTTGGATATGTCGTCATACGAATAGCATTTGATCTGAAGGGTCTGACCTATATTAACATGATCATTCTGTATAAACTTACGTACATTTAAATCGCTGTGGCACTCAGTATGGTATCAGCACGACATAGCCCAGTATCCTTGTCAAAAGTTGAGCATTATGTATTTGTTAACGGGGTGATTACGTAAAAAAGCTTACGAAATGCTTAAGATCGGGGACAATTGAGATTTTAAAAAGTGAACCGGATAAAATTTGTTGAAGTACAAAATGAGCACAATCGCTCGGCTGAACCGAGTGTTAGGTCTTTGAATGAACTGCACGTGTAGTGTCTATGAGATTCTCGATGAGGTATCGGCTGCCATGGTTATAGCTTTGTGATGTAGGAATCTTCAGCTGCCTCGTCATCGGAATAATCGGTCACATTCATCAGCATTGGAATGGCCCGTTGTATCTTAGCAACGGCAAGGGCATCGTAGAGATCCAAGAAAATATGTTCCTGTGGAATCTTATTGAAAACTCCAGCATGCTTCATGGCTTCCCGCATGTCGTAGGAACAACCAGACAGGAACAGTTTGATGTTGACGTGGTCGTACTCAGTGGAGATGTGGCTGAGGACATTGGCGCCGGATGCATCCAAGTAGTTGATGACGCTGCAATCGACGATGACGTGGTGTGTGCGTCTCATATTTCTCAGTTTCTCATCTGTAACAAGGACGTCGCCGTCCTCGGGGTCGACGTCTTCGTCCTCGGAGTTAATTGTGGTGATGGTGACGGCAGAGAAGGTGGAGTCAATGCTGCCGTGGCGTTTCATGCTTCCGTCGGCGTTAAAGCCGTTCTGTTTGAGAGTGTAGCTGTTCTTTTGTGCTTCGTCGCTGATGCTGAACACAGGGTTGTCGATGCTGGAGACAGAATCACGTTGGGTGCCGTCACTTTTTGAGGAGTCTGTGCTGTTGATACGGGGAATGAGGTTGTTCTCTGACGTGCTCAACTTCCTGCTTCCGTTTGTGTCGGTTGATGGTACTGACGTCTTCACAACGGAACTTCTTCTTTCTTCGCTGAGCAGCATCACGCTCTTCCCAGATTTGCCCATTTTCTTTTCGTATTTCTTGATCATCTTCAGAAGTTTTCTAGGGTTTACAGTGCTTTTGTAGAGGTTGGATCGGAAGATTTCGGCGTTGGCATAGTACAGAGAAGACTGGAAGCGGAAGATCTTGACGCCGGGGATCTCGACGGAATCCTGGTATTTCTTGTGCTCTACCAGGGTGCTATCTTTCATGGTTCTGCCGAGTCTGTAGCCGCGGGCGAACTGGGTCTGGAACACAACAGTGATGAGAGAAACGCCAACACCGATAAAGAGACCGTAGTCGATGTCGAGGAACACAGCGCTGGTGAAGGTGCTGAACCAGATGACGAAGTCGAATTTGTTGACACGCCAGAATTTACGTCCGTCGAGAATCTGGATGAAGAGTCCTTTGAGAGCGATGAAGATGATGGCAGCCAGGATTGACTTGGGGAGAACCTCGAAGACAGAGCTGATGACCATGATGACGAGGACCATCAGACCGGAAGTGAAGACGCCGTTGAGGACCGTCTTGGTGTTCATGCCACTGGAAACCATGGATCGTGGGGGAGCGACGCTGGAGGGGAAACACCTGAAGAAAGAACTGACGAAGTTGCACATGCCGTAGGCGATGAGCTCCTGACTATCGTCAACCTCGTAGTTGTGTTTCTTTGCGCAGATCTTAGCCATGGCGATGGTGTTGGCGAAGATGAGGATGGCGATGATGAAGCAGTCAGCCAGGAAGTTGGGGGTTTCTGCCAGTGGTGGGATGACTGGTGGAGGAATGGTGCTTGGGATGTCACCGACGATGGCGATTCCGAAGTTGGTGTTCAGGTCGCCGAAATAGCCAACGATGCATCCAATGACGACGACGAAAAGCTCAATAGGGATTGGCATGAAAAGCTTGTGCTTGAACCTCTCGTTGATGCAGTCCTTCACCAGCACAATGATGACACAAGTGATAACGGCACAGATGATGGCAGCAACGTTGACCTCGGTGATGTGGGTGAAGATTTCTCTGTAGTTATTGATGAACTTGAACAGACCGCCGTGTTTCTTGACGTCCAGTCCAAGCATAGCTGGGACCTGGCTTGTGGCGATGTGGACGGCGGCTCCTGATGTAAAGGCACAAAAGAAGGACTCGGATAGGTAGGCGGTGATGAACCCGAGCTTGAAGATCCCCATGAAGATCATCATTAAACCCGAGACGAAGGTCACCGCCATGGCTATTCCTTCCTTGTAATCCAAGTATGCAGGAATGTCATCAAGAGGCACTTGAGTACCATTCAATGTAAAGTTCAGAATATCCGGATTGGCGGCGACAAACGCCTCGCCTTGACGGTCCACAACACTAGCAGTCAATATACATATCACAGCACTGGTGCCGATGGAAACGTGGGCAGATGTTCCGAAAAATACGTAGATGATGACAGGCCATAAGGATGTATACAATCCGTTTTCGATCTTTACAGACGTCAGCTGTCCGAAGGCCAGAGCTTGAGGGATATGTAGAACCCCAATTGTTAAACCGGCCAGTATGTCAATCAGAATGTTGTCTTTAATGTTGTAGTACCGTAGGACCTTGAGAATTGGTAAATAACCGCTCACAAGTTTCCATAGCCGCTTCTTTGAGCAATAGCACTGTTTCTTCACGCGTTCGGATATGCTCTTGGATTCGAACTCGGTCTTGGCGTGGAAATCGTCGAATGCTGTTTGCGTAAAAGGTGGTCGCTTGATGACAATGGCATTGTCAATGACGTTGACGGCAGGACAGGAGAAACGTCGTCCTTTCGTGTCCAGGCTCCCGGGTGAGTTGGCCGCGTCACTGATAGATACTGACCGTTTCTCATTCATCGTGGAGGTCTGTAAATGTAGAGAAAAAACATAAGACGTCATAGAACTGACTGAGTGACTGAGTTGTTTTACGCCGCTTTTAGCATATTCCCGCAATATCACGGCGGGGGACACCAGAAATGGGCTTCACACATTGTACCCATGTGGGGAATCGAACCGGGCCTTCGGCGTGACGAGCCAACGCTTTAACCACTAGGCTACCCCACCGGCCAAAGACGTCATAGAAAGGAACAGTGTACAGCCACATATAAAGGAAGAGTCAGTGATGAAATGGTAATTATTTGTGTTTGACATTTCTATATATGATATAAGTTACAATATTGTTGTATACAGTGTTGCATTGTGTTGATTAGGAGCGCCAATATAAGATATATGGATAAGTGCTAGTAACGTGTTTGTGACGGTAGATACCGGGCAATAAAGACAATACAGGTATAAAGGTGTCCAATAGCTGTCAATTCGATAATGAGTGTGTGAGTGAGTGAGTGAGTTTAATTTCACGCCGCTTTTAGCAATATTCCAGCAATATCACGGCGGGGGACTGGGCATCACACATTATATCCAAGGGGGTAATCGAACCCGGGTCTTCAGCGTAACGTCTTAACTACAAGGCTACCCCTCCGTCCCCAATTCAACGATGAAGCCATGTGGTGATAATAGGTTCATTCAGGAATGAAAACACTTTAGGGTAAATACGTATATAACCTGACAATGAACACTCGCCATTTAACACTAATTTTTCAAACACTGGCTGTCACCTTGACATTTGGACAAGGGGAGACAACTAGACGAAATAGTTGCTGAAGCTTCACTGACCTCACGTGAACCTGACGTTTTGCATGGCACGTTAATAATTAATAAATTCCGTCAGGGTTCCCTTGAGAAGACAGGCTATATAATTACATTTTGGGGGTTGAAGTATTAATATTAATATGATCTGGGGAAGTAGTGACCATAATGATGATGATAATGATGATGATGCTGATGATGATGATGTTTTGCTACATGAACACTTTAATGCACCATATCATGTTTCACAAGTCTCCCTCAGTGACGCGTGAAACATGTTCTCCAGTGTCGTCCCGTCAACCTCCCCTCCCTCCCACCCCTTCCCTGCTGCATGCAAAGCTTTTGGGACACGTCAGCAACTGCCCTTGGCCGACAAGCCAACCAACGCTCCAAATACAGTGAAATCCTACACAACACGCTGGCGTGGTTCTCTGGTGTCTTGGCGGCTGACAATAGCGAACATCCATACTTGTCATTGCGCCATTCATCATATGTTTTCAGTAGCATCAAGCGCCTTGTCTAACATGTTAATAGACCTGTCTGTCAAAAAACGCATTTCTTTGCAATCGGAGAGAGCCGGTTGGAGACACATAGCGATGTACATTAGCTATCGTGGAACAGATCCGTTTAGGTTAATACACATGCAGAAACAAAATGGAATGAAGAAAGTTGAAATGCGACTTTTAGAATTGAAATGATTTGGAAATTGTTACGAAAAAAAATTGCATTTCACATCAACCATTGCGCGACAAACGTGTCTAAGATGCGGAAATAATGCAGCTCTTGTTTCAAGCTTACCTAATGAACCCGGTCTAATTTGTATATTCATAATGACCTAGGTCATTTCATTGCTTAGCCTCACCTGGGACTGCACCTCGGCTGCAGTAATATATCACTCGTGTCGGTTTCGGGGACAAACTGGGACCCCGTGTACAGACTATGTTAAAGCGCTAGCGCGTGTCTTGTGTTTGCCTAGTTTAGGCGTTTGTCGTCGCCGCCGCCGTGACGTGATTAAGCCTTGGGGTGACAAGCGGGGACTTAACTTCAGCGCTGACACAAGTGCTGTCTAAACCATAAGGTGACAGGTGGGTAGCACATTATTCTTGCCTTTCTGCTTTTTGGGAATAATGATTAATGTGACATTCTGTCAGCCCACCCATTGTATTTTAAGTAAGGACCATCTTCCTGCACGAATTTCCCTTACGAATAACGAAAAAATAATAGTTTAAATTTAATTTAATTTTCCGAAAGTTATAGTTTTGGTTTGGGTCCAGAAGGGTAAAAAACTGAATTAAAACATTAAATTAAAATGAAATGTAAGAGGCTCGTAATACAAAGATACCCACATACCAATTGTCAAGAGGGGAATTTCGTTGATACGTTCAGTTGATAGGCATGCTTGGCTGTAGCTAGTGGATTTCAAGAGGAGGAACAAATAAGGAAACATAACATGTATAAAAGGAATGAACCAATCGGATTGCGAGGTTTTTTCCCCTTTTCTTTTTCGGCCAATATAATTGTGACATTCTTAATTGTTTCCGTGGTCTACTTACCAAGTACACTTCCGTTCAAAAGAATATTTACAGTTTGCATGTTGGACATGACCACAAAATTACCAACTTTATCAAAACGTAGCTTAGCTGAAAAAAGTCGCCGAAAATGCAAATATTGATTGATGCACAGCTGTGATACTCGTAGAAAATACATCACCGTAGATCAACCATTTCTTCTTTTTCATTTTAAGCACATTCAACAAGGGTGAATGGTGTATGTTTTCCTTTGCTCGGCAGTTTAAAACATTTCCTCACTGACTATTTAATTAGATTAGACTTACCTAGTTGATTTGAATTTTCAAGCAATAATTTGGTAAAATCAACCCTTTTACATTGTCTACTTTCCTGTGTTTGTTCTTGTTCCCTGAAAACTGATGCACTTTTTCAGCTGTCATTGAGCACTTATTCTACCTGTGTAATTGATTTGCGTCCCGAAAGACAATCAACGCCGTAAAATACTTTTCTAGACCGGTTTCTCACAGCAGAAACTTATACAAAGACATGATGTCCCCTGCTGTGAAACAATTTACTTAGTTGCCAAGATATTTACCGTTATCATGCAGATACACCTTAAGCATATTATTGATTTCATATTTTCGGTGAAGAAAATCTACCTCTGTAACGATGGACTTTGGGCTTATTTATTCCAATAAAAATGTCATATGGGATATGCTTTCAACAATTTTGTTCAATGTCGGTTCAAACAGTCATATTATTTGCGTTCCACAGGAACATAGCAATTATTTGCGTCGATTCCCCATTTGCATAGGACCTAATATCTGGTTGCTATAACGACATCAGAAATCTGTTTTGCTAAGGGTGCTGAGATGAGCTTCGCCATTTCAGTCAGATAGCTACAAATGGGTGAGTGAGTATGATTTTACGCTGCTTTTAGCAACATACCCACACTGTCACGTCGCCACCGCCCTCGAAAGTTACGAAAATGTAATAAAATTCATTAACGGCAAGGCACTTGTTTACAATGTAGTATACCCGATTATCTGACAGATTCATATTCAAATTCGGATTTGTTACACATTGTTGCACAACACGTCATAAAATTGTGTTAGTCCACTCGATATGAGGACATAATGCGTTTACCGTATTTGCATGCAAGTTACCGTAGTAACGTTCATCTTGGATTGGTCGAACGATAAGGTTTATTGCAAACCTAGATAGCATTACCAGGACATGCCTGATAAATATATATATATCTACATGTAATCACTGATGAATTCAAGAATGAATTTGAAAATTTATTTAAAAATTGACCCCGCTGTCCACTCCTTAATTCAATTCCCTACATCATAAAATTTGGCATGACATGTATTTTTACTGATGTAGACAATACAATGTTAATGCTTATATTGTTAATCAACGGTCACGTGTTCCCTTGGTGGATCTTCAAGGAAATTACATGTATATTTGCTATTACGAATACATATCCATATAGATTCATCACCTATGCAGTCCTGCTCGATACAGTTTTAAAAATATATCATATGACCTTCTAAATTATCACTATTTCTGAAATCATTTTAAAAAAGATTTTGAAACGACAAATAATGTTCATACGGGCTTCTAAAATCGTAATGTACTTACTACAGTAACTTTGTTACAGGCGAAATGTTTATCACAAAGCATCAACAGCTGTCACACGCCCAATGAGATAAACAAGTTTGGTGATAGTTCTTACCTTGGTAGAGATCCGGTATGTACAGAAGAGGTAGCGAATGCTATACCCACTGATCCCGAAGCTAGTCGGCTTCACCACTGAATCTGCACAGTGGACGTCAGGCTTAAATACCTAGGGTAACAGTGTCAAATCATCGCTTCTCGTCTTGTCTTCCAAGACAATTCTCCGCTAAGCTCCGCCCACTGTCATCTCAGGGCCTAATCCCGTTGTAGGTACATCTTGAGCTTTGACAGGCTGTTCTGTGGAAGATGTAATGTCATGTGATTTACACATTGTGTGTCAGCTATGATGTAATGCATCTTCAGATGCCTATATGAGAACGGTCTGAGCCAAGGAGATACTATTGAAACTTTTGTTTACACTCATTTATTTATGTCTGTGTTAATCGTATACCTCCTGATTTTTAAACTATATATGATCGGATTTGGTCATTAAATTTGAAATAAATCGTTTGCGACCTACTATCTTTTTGGTAGTTTTTGATTGCTGTTTGGAATTTTACTGTTTATTTAAATATAACGAATTCCATCAGGTTAAAATTGGTTTAAATGAAAAGTGTGCTCATTGAATGTAACATTTAGGGTATGTTTCAGATGAGAGTTTAATCCATTTATTAGTATTATATCTAGCACTGTTTAAATCTGCTCAAGAATGTATGAGCGAAATGCCCCAATCTGTGGACCTTGTGTAAATTGTTACAAGAATATTTGGGAATTTCATGAAACCTCTTTATTGGAAACTTTTGGAAAGTTTTACAGGACGTGTGGCAATGTTATTAATTTCGTCAAAATATTTAAAAAACAATTGAGTCAAGGGTATATGTACATTGTCAAATTCTCTACATTTAAATGGCCTCATTTATGCAAGCACGCATACTCTTCACTCTGATCTTAATCGTTCGGAGCACCTTTGCAATAGACAAGTAGTTTTATTCAGAAATATGACAAATAGTGTAACAAATTGAGGCTTGGGCCAAATAGTTCAAGGCTTCAAGTGTTTTTATTTTATTTTCCAGAGCATATATGTACAAACATTTGACAGTTAACGGCATTTTGATCTAAGAGTACAATTTATTATTGCGTCAAATTTGGACTGACTGACTAACTGAGTTTGGTTTTACGCCGCTTTTAGCAATATTCCAGCAACATCACGGCGGTGGACACCAGAAATGGGCTCACACATTGTACCCATGTGGGGATTCGATCTGGGTCTTCGGCGTGACGAGCCAACGCTTTAACCACTAGGCTACCCCACCGCCCCTCAAGTTTAGACAGTTCAAGGTCAGCCAAGCTCATACGGTGTTGTTGGGTGTTGTTTAGATGGGTAATGTTTAGATCGAGAGTTACGTCCCTTGAGCGTGCAAGCTGGTCAAGTGTGTGAGCAGGGACAAAAAGTGTTATTTTGTTCAAATCAAGGGCTTGTGGTGCTCTTAAAGTCGAAGTGAGTACATATAAGACTCCCTAGATCAATTCTGTGAATTTTGATTCTCCGACCGCCAGCTTGTTGGTAAGGAAAGACCGACTGCATGGATCTTCAATCGTCGCAAACTTTTGTCGATACAGTAATGGCGTCACCCATTTCGCCTACTACCAGCTCGATTAACGATTATCGACAGACAGATCGAAGATCGTCAGAAGATAGGAGGAGGAGACCTCACAAAGGTACAGGGATCGAAGAAAGCGAGGAGCATTCTTCTAAAAAGGAAAATGGTGAGTCACAGTTTGTGACGAAAACATTGAGTGAACAAACATGTGAGAGAACGATAGACGATGTGTTTGACGCTATCACTGAATTAACTGATCACTTTAACCGGAGAATGAATTCCATGGAAGAAAGAATCTTTGGTAAACGCAGAGGCAACAATTACAGGTCCCACGATCAGGTCAACAGCGAAGTACGTGGGTTTGTTGATAAACACATGTCAGGTGACTCAAAGAGATCGACCAATGAAGATCAGTGCGTGGAGAGGGCAGGGGTTAAGGTTCATGGGATCGCCGACAACAATCTCAATTGTCCACTCGGCTTTTGGCCCGGTGTGGGTTTTGGAATGCTAACGGTTGGTGTACAGATGAACTAACTAATAACTATGTTTTACGAAAAGCCTGCATTAATTTTCTTGACTATGATATATTAGGTATTGCTGAAACCCATCTCACAGGTGATGACAGTTTGAATATTGACGGCTTTTCATGGTTTGGCCACAACCGAACTAACCTTCATAAGAATGCAAAGAAAGGTTCTGGAGGAGTCGGCTTCCTACTGACTGAGTTTGGTTTTCCGCCGCTTTTAGCAATATTCCAGCAACATCACGGGGGACACCAGAAATGGGCTTCACACATTGTACCCATGTGGGGATTCGAACCCGGGTCTTCGGCGTGACGAGCCAACGCTTTAACCACTAGACTACCCCACCGCCCCTGTCGGCTTCCTAATACAGACTGATATTCTTAGTAAATATGATGTGCATATTCTTGACAATTCCTATGAAGGGATATTTTGGGTACAGTTAGTACACAGATATATTAGAAATTGTGTATCTACAATGTGCGTATGTTATCTGCCACCTGAACTCTCATCAAGGCATGTAGACACATCTGAGTTTTATGATAACCGCTTGACCCTAGTGTATAAATATTAAAATGAAAATATTGTGTATATATGTTGTGATTTTAATAGTAGATGTGCCAGTGAACTGGACTTCATTGAAGTAGTTGACTTTCTACCTGAGCGATGTGTTCTAGACAATGTTCTTAACAACCATGGTCGATGTTTTATTGACTTTCTTATCAATGCAAATATGGGTATTGTTAATTGGCGTGGTGACACAACAAAAATGATTTAACGTATGTTTCTCCAATTGGCGTCTCCGTTGTAGATTATTGCATATGTTGCTATGAAAATATAGGCGATATTAAGCAATTCAGCGTACATCGCCCAAACGCCGTAGTTGACTGTGCAGGACTGATGGGAGAGGTGGACGCGGAGGCAGCTGCGAAGTTAGACCATTCCTTTCTTACATGGGAGGTGGTGCTTCATGAACACAGAACTGATACAGACATGACGGACACTGGTCAGAGTTGTGTAGAAGCAGAATACGTTATCAAACATGATGTCGTATGTGTGCCTGAAAACTTCCTGTCATCTGAAGCATGCCTTAGGGAAATACAAGCTACCATTGTATCTCTGGAAACGTCGTGGAACCAACAACGAGACACTGACATTGCTTTTAACAATTTTGTCGAAAATGTGAAAAAAGAAATGAATGAAAAGCTTCCATCTAAACGAGTTTATTCAAGTGTACGGAATGGAAATAGGAAACGGAAAGTGAAGAAGGCCTGGTGGAACGACGACCTAACGACGAAGTGGAATGACATGTGTAAGTCTGAGAAAGCCTGGTGTAAAAGTAGGGGTAACGATAAAAGGCGTCTAAAGACAGTGTACGTGAGGTGTTTGATAGAACTGTAACGCTACATAAGCGTCAACATATCCGTGATACACTGGATGAGTTAGAGTCCCTTTGTGATTCTGGTAGAGCAGATTTTTGGAAGATTGGAAATGTAGGTATTGGCAATGAAAGAAAAAAGGTACTTCCGATGGAAGTACAACTGGAAGATGGTACTATTACAAAGCATCAACCCACTGTTGTGGATACCTGGGGTAAGACCTTTTCGACGCTGCTGAGTGAGTGAGTGAGTGAGTTAGGTTTAAGCGCCGCTTTTAGCAATATTCCAGCAATATCACGGCGGGGGACACCAGAAATGGGCTTCACAATTTGGACCCATGTGGGGATTCGAAACCGGGTCTTCGGCGTGACGAGCCAACGCTTTAACCACTAGACTACCCCACCGCCGCTCGACGCTGCTGAACAGTAACATAAGTGACATGAGTGATGTACGTCATCATGACGTCACCGATGACTTGTCAACATCGAACTCCACCCAGGTATCTGCCCTTAACGAGGGTATCACCATGGAGGAAGTTCACAGCGCTTTAGTTCAAGCCAAGATAGGGAAGGAGTGGCTTTGATGGTATTCCAACGGAGGTCCTAAAAAATACACCTAGTATGCACTCTTTACACAGACTTTTTAATGACTGCTTTATCTCAGGGAGGATCCCTACAGAGTGGGGTAAAGGCGTTATTAACCCCACACCTAAGACGTCGACAGCTGATCCCAGAGACCCACTGTCATATCGAGGTATAACTCTGTCTAGCGCTTGTTATAAACTGTACTGTAACATCCTCAACTCTAGACTAACTGACCACGTGGAGACTCAAAACTTACTGGCTGACCAACAAAACGGTTTCAGAAAGAAAAGATCCACAACTGAACACATACATGTATATGCTTTAACTTCAGTGACTGAGTCAAGAAAGAATATGAAGAAACAGACATTTGTTGCTTTTGTGGATTTTAGAAAAGCATATGATCGTGTTGATAGAGCTATTTTATGGAAGAAATTAACTGAGAGTGGAATTGAAGGCAATATGTATCGTGCTATTGTGTCTTTGTATGACTGTACGGAGCTGTGTGAGATTGAATGGAGTCTGTACGGAGTGGTTCGACGTGAAATATGGCCTTCGTCAAGGTTGTTTGCTATCACCCCTTCTTTTTAACATTTTCATCAATGACTTCATTATTCGTATAAATCAGCTTGAACTTGGTGTCCAAATCAATGACCACTTTGTAAATGTTCTTGCCTACGCGGATGACGTTGTCCTTCTGGCTGAAAATGAAAACAACCTGAACTTGATGCTGGACTGTTTAAACTCGTGGTGTCAAGAGAACAAGATGACTGTGAATCAAGCCAAATCCAAGGTTATTCACTTCCGGAATCCGGTAACTCCTAGGACAGAATCTTCGTTTCTATGTGGGGACATCGAACTGGAGGTATCAGACAGCTACACCTATCTTGGACTGTTTCTTACTGAATTTTTAGACTACAGGCGAATGGACAAGGTGGCAGCAAGTTTGGCGCTTGGACTCCTCATATCTAAGTACAAAGTGATGGGAGGAATGAGATACCAGACGTACAAGCTCTGCGATTCCATGGTCTGGTCTGTAGTTGAATATGGAGCGGCAATCTGTGGC